ATTTATAATATATCTTTAATTTTAAGTACTAAATTTTTTTAATTTCTTCATTTCTCTAAGTTTTTCCTTTTCCTTTTTTATTTGTAATTTTTTTCAACGTTCTATTTTTTTTTTTATTTCAAATTTAAACTTTCCTTTTTTTTTTCTTTTTTTCATCTTCGATAACGCAGAAATGACCGTAGTGAAATCCCTTATTACTGTGGCAGCTGTCAGTTGAACATTTTTTCAAACAGTTTTCCTCTTTGTATGAAAGGGGGGAAGGGGACATGGTACATTAAACATGGAACAAAATTATTAGTCTTAAAATGGTCTATTAAAATATTCCTGAACTTGTCTAAGCTACACAACATATTTGGAAAGTTGATGGATACCTGCCGCAGCCAATCGATTAGCGCTCTAGTCGCACGTCGTCCGAACCGCGCTTCAAATGTTCCGGTTGGTTGACGAATGATCGAATTTACAGTTAATGTTACTATTGCCTGGCATACCTTAAAATATAAAAGATTAAAAAAATCTTAAAAATCTTAAAATTTGACCGTGGTTTTAGCAATGAGGCAAGAATGTGCATCTTTAAGTGGTGGTAGCAGTGGATATAGATCATCAATTGAAATTTATGATTTCGAAGTGTGTCGAGGTGAGACTACACATTACAACACAGCTTTTATGGGACAAGAAAGTAAGCATGCACCACCTGGAAACCATCCTCAAGCACCCGAGTTTGTAGAATATTTCCCACATCATCAACCATGCGCTTAGCATCATCAGTTTTTGGCCATGGACTTTTGATGAACTGCCGACTCCATACGTAGTTAGGTAACTTGACGATGTCTGATGGTCCGGCATGTCCATTGATATCATTTGCTTTGAGCGAAGGTAGTGGTGGCTGATAGAAGATTATCACCTGTATTCAAGTAAATAAAATTACCAAGACTCGGGAACTATCTGCCTCCCGGTGTGCCCCTAACCATGTCCATAAGTCACAAGTCCTGATCTTCAGAAGGAGAGGTTAGGCTTCTAAATTTTAGATTGCCGTGCTAAGATCTAAAGTTTCACTGATTAAATTGAGTATTCTAGAATCAGTTTTCTTCATTAGACATCACTGCTTCCCTAAAAAGGCATATAAAGAGAATTAAACAATATAGACTAAAATACTAGCAGTAATGGTTTTGCGGAATAAGAATAATAAAGGAACAAAAATTAATATGAAATACACGAAACGAACTCTTCCGGTGCTACTCCAAATTTTGTTTAGTGTGTAATTCATCGCTGTTCGTATTGTCGCCGGTCGAGTAATCAGGCGATCACCAAACAAATTATTGATCATATCAAGAAGCTTATCATGATGCTGCTCACGAAATTCATAAAAATGATTGATATCAATTAGCACTATCTCCTTTGGATGAACTGATAAGAAGTCATCCACTCGTTTGAATAGATCTATAATCAAATAATCAAAAATGACAAAATACGATCAATGGGAAAATTAAGATTTCTCTTATAATATTCTATTTAGATATGTATCACATTGTTCTATCAAAAGACTCATTACTAGGGGAATTTTCTAACCGGGGGATCGTCTAATACCGGTCATTGGCATGAACTACTGAAAAAAATACGAACTTTTCCGGATCAGTTTTGAAAACTGAGCTGTCTAACGAATCAAACGATATATTTTACTAAGTATATTAAGAAGCCCTCATTTGGTCTATTTGTATCAATTTGAGAAGAGATGGATCTTCCTGATAAGATATCACGAAAAGTTTTTTTTTTTTTTAAGAGGCGTACCTCTGATTTCCATAGATCGAAGTCCATGCACTACATAAATACCCTCATTTATGTAGGCTACTTGTACATCCAGAAATCGAATACCTGCTTCTAACTGGAAGTATTTTCGATGTTTAAATATTTCTTAGGTTAATTATTCACTAAAAAGACGACTTAAAAATGATGCTAATATTGTAAATATCCCTAATGATACATACCTGTTGTTTAATAGACATTGTTTGTACTTTCGACCAATTGTAAACTGCTTTCCGGATCATATCATTGGAATCCAGTACTCGAACACACCATGTCTGATCTGGTGTTATTTCGCTATCTTCTTTCAGACTACAAGTACCACTTAAATGGGAACCTGAAGAAACTGAGGATGAAATACTAGAAATTTTAAACATTTCCTGTTTTTTTTTTCTGCTTTTCTTTCAAATGGTAATTTGTAAATACATTAGTAACAGTTGATTGAGAATCAAACCTTTCCCCTTTTCAAGATGTATTTGCCCCAATTATTGATTAATTAAACAATTTATATAAGGTGATTAAGTTGAACCGAAACAATGATTACAAAAGCAACTGAAAAACCTGGAATAGCAAGTGTCATAATTGGTTTATCCCGGGCAGCAACTGGCAATTCGGACATCCAATCTGCCATTGCTTCAGATTCCTCACCTTTAAACAGACGAAAATTTCTTATATCATTCAATTTTCTTGCACTCAAATAGAACGAAAACTCGTAGATTTACAATAAAGAATTGGATTGCATAGAATGAAAGGAAGAAGGAATTGATCTTGATTCTCCCTTCTCGTCGATCATCAGATGAAGAATGAATTGATCTTGATTCATCCTTCTCGATCATCGGATGAAGAATGAATTGATCGTGATTGTCCCTTCCGATCATTGGATGAAGAATGAATTGATCTTGATTTACCCTTCCCGATCATCAGATGAAGAATGAATTGATCGTGATTG